AACAAAAAATCATCCATCTCTTGTGTAAAAAATCTGTAACAATGGCTTGGCCTCGATCATGTATCCTTACCTCCTTTACATTTATCCTCCTACAACTATCATCCGTTGCTGCACAAAATGGTGGCAAATTAACAGTAGGCCAATCTCTCAGAGCCACCGGCAATGGTTCTTCATTGCTTTCCCCTTCGGGTGATTTTGCCTTCGGCTTTCATCAATTTCCTAACAACAATGATCTATTCTTGCTTGCCATCTGGTACGCTAAGATTCCTGACACCATAGTTTGGTATGCAAATGACGGTAACGGGTAATCCCGTTAGCCAGGGATCGTCAGTAAAAATAACTACCAATGAGGGTCTATTCCTTAGTGACCCTCAAGGAACTTCTCTCTGGAGTACCACTGATGCAAAAAAAAGCGGGGAAGCAGTTAATTATGGTTTTATGAATGATACCGGAAATTTTGTGCTCAATAGTGAAACTGACGATGCAGTTTGGCAGAGTTTTGACAATCCTACCGATACTTTGCTCCCTACCCAGATTTTGCAAGCGGGAGGCCAGCTTCATTCTCGACAATCAGAAACCAATTTTACTCAAGGGAGGTTCCAACTTCGCTTACAAAGTGATGGAAACCTAGTCCTAAATACAAGGGACCTAGCAACAGGTTATGCCTATGATCCTTACTATGCTAGTAACACTGTTGCAGATGGAAACCCAGAAAGTGCTGGTGACAGAGTTGTTTCGGCAAAAAAATGAGCTAACCGGGCCTTGGAGGGGTGTCTGAGAACCTCGAATTTGGGCCTTGAATGGACCTGCAAAATGAACCCCGAGCCCCAGGGGTTGAACCCGGGGCGGAGCCTCCGACGCCCAAGTTAGTTGCCAAACAATGCATATTTTGAGAGGAGTTTAGGGGAGAGAGTGGAGGAGTATGGTCATCTTAGATGATAAGAGTGACCTCCTTTTACCTTATGCCCTTTGAGGGGTATTTATATGAGTACATAAGTGGGTTTATGAGCCCTAAAATTACATATGTGGGCCGTTGAAGGCCATATTGATGTATTTGACTTATTTGGGGCCTTTTATACCTTTTTTATGCCCTTTGGGCTTATATGGGTAGAGTTACCCAAGACTAAAATGGGTATGACCATTTTAGTACCCAAACAATTAGCCCCCGAGACCCAATTCTATTTGAAAAAATGAGTTGGGTTTTGTTTCAATTTCCCAAATAATTCGTTCATAGAAATTGAGTCGAAGGACTTTATTTGTTCAGGTTTATGCAAGGCAACACTCTTGATCCGAGGATTGTAAGAGTTATTACTCTTGATCCGAGGACTGAAAGTGTTCATTCGAGGCAACACTCTTGATGCAAGGATTGAAAGAGTTAATTACTCTTGATCCGAGGATTGAAAGAGTTCATCCGAGGCAACACTCTCTTGATCCAAGGATTGAAAGAGCTAATTACTCTTGATCCGAGGACTGAAAGAGTTCATCTGAGGCAACACTCTTGATCCAAGGTTTGATCCGAGGACTGAAAGAGTTCATCCGAGGCAACACACTCTTGATCCAAGGATTGAAAGAGTTAATTACTCTTGATCCGAGGACTGAAAGAGTTCATCTGAGGCAACACTCTTGATCCAAGGTTTGATCCGAGGACTGAAAGAGTTCATCCGAGGCAACACACTCTTGATCCAAGGATTGAAAGAGTTAATTACTCTTGATCCGAGGACTGAAAGAGTTCATCTGAGGCAACACACTCTTGATCCAAGGATTGAAAGAGTTAATTACTCTTGATCTGAGGACTGAAAGAGTTCATCTGAGGCAACACTCTTGATCCAAGGATTGAAAGAGTTAATTACTCTTGATCCGAGGACTGAAAGAGTTCATCCGAGGCAACACTCTTGATCCAAGGTTTGATCCGAGGACTGAAAGAGTTCATCCGAGGCAACACACTCTTGATCCAAGGATTGAAAGAGTTAATTACTCTTGATCCGAGGACTGAAAGAGTTCATCTGAGGCAACACTCTTGATCCAAGGATTGAAAGAGTTAATTACTCTTGATCCGAGGAATGAAAGAGTTTAATACTCTTGATCCGAGGATAGAAAGAGTTTATTACTCTTGATCCGAGGATAGAAAGAGTTTATTACTGTTGATCCGGGGATAGAAAGAGGTTACTCTTGATCCGAGGATAGAAAGAGTTTATTACTCTTGATCCGAGGATAGAAAGAGTTTACCCTTAATCCGAGGATAGAAAGAGTTTATTACTCTTGATCCGGGGATAGAAAGAGTTTACTCTTGATCCTAGGATAAAAAGAGTTTATTACTCTTGATCCGAGGATAGAAAGAGTTTACCCTTAATCCGAGGATAGAAAGAGTTGACTCTTGATCCGAGGATAGAAAGAGTTTATTACTCTTGATCCGAAGATAGAAAGAGTTTTACTCTTAATCCGAGGATAAAAAGAGTTTATTACTCTTGATCCGGGGATAGAAAGAGTTTTACTCTTGATCCGAGGATAGAAAGAGTTTACTCTTGATCCGAGGATAGAAAGAGTTTACTCTTGATCCGAGGATAGAAAGAGTTTATTACTCTTGATCCGAAGATAGAAAGAGTTTTACTCTTAATCCGAGGATAAAAAGAGTTTATTACTCTTGATCCGGGGATAGAAAAAGTTTTACTCTTGATCCGAGGATAGAAAGAGGTTACTCTTGATCCGAGGATAGAAAGAGTTTATTACTCTTGATCCGAGGATAGAAAGAGTTTACCCTTGATCCGAGGATAGAAAGAGTTTATTACTCTTGATCCGAGGATAGAAAGAGTTTACCCTTATTCCGAGGATTGAAAGAGTTTATTACTCTTGATCCGGGGATAGAAAGAGTTTATTACTCTTGATCCGGGGATAGAAAGAGTTTACTCTTGATCCGAAGATAGAAAGAGTTTTACTCTTAATCCGAGGATAAAAAGAGTTTATTACTCTTGATCCGGGGATAGAAAGAGGTTTACTCTTGATCCGAGGATAGAAAGAGTTTACCCTTGATCCGAGGATAGAAAGAGTTTACCCTTAATCCGAGGATAGAAAGAGTTGTTTTTTTTTTTTTTTAATCATCATCATCGTGAGGAAGATTGATGATTAATTTTATCATCGTCATCGTGAGGATAGTTGATGATATTTATTTATTTTTTTTTTTTTTGAGGAAAATATTGACTCGAAAAATTAAGAGCCATTTTTCTTTGCTGAAGCAATTTGATAGATGGGCTTTGATGAAAGTGGGCCCGAAGCCATTTACTTGATAAAAGTAGTAGCCGCAGGTAAGAAAGCTTCTGGCCATCTACCCTGACAAAGGTAGTTTTTTTTTATGGCTTATAGCTCTTTGAAAATGGTCAAAAGGTAAATTTTTCTTCTGACTTGTTATCATCAGATTTGATGTAGGTTGAGGTCGGGTACAATTTGAGCCAATTGCACTTGACTGCCGAAGCTAATTGCTTTGGTTGCTCTAGCATTAGCTCGTATGAGCTTCGGCATGGATGAACCTTCTTCGGTTCAGACAAACCATCTTCGGCATCACCCTCGGCTCATATGGTTGTGAGCTTCGGCTGGGAGCTCGAATCTCGGCGAAGGTAAACCTCGGCTGGGCTCGACTTCGGCCATGGCTAGCCTCGGCCAGGAGATAAGAGGTGAGCTTCGGCTCGGCAATGGTTACCGACCTTAACTTGGGAGCGGTAAACTGTACCACCCTTGGTTTCTGCTGAATCACCTTCAACTCGCCCAGAACGCCTTCGGCTTGGGCTGAAACTCCTTCGGTCTCGGCTGAAAAGCCTTAGGCTTGGCTGAAACACCGGTCTCGGCTCGGCTGGCTTGCCCAGAACACCTTCGGCTTGGGCTGAAACACCTTCGGATAGCCTCGGCTCGATGAGCTTCGGATTCCTTTTGCTTATCCGAGCTATTTGCTTCGGATTTTTAGATTGGTGATAGTTTGAGCTTTTTTAAGCTTCAACAATGGTAGACAACCTCGGATCTTCTTCGGCTGCTACTTTAGATGTGATGTGAAGAGATTTGGCTCACTTCACAATACTAGCCTTGACCCCCATTGACCTCGGCATGTGTTGCCTAGGATGAAATGGTGAGTCGTTCTAGTGGTGGAGTTGTGAGCCTTGAAGCTTGTGATGAAGACAATGGCAATTTCCTTCGGCAAGCATTGAATTTACATAAACCTGATTGATTTTTTATGTATGTTTCATGCCACCTGCTGCCTCTTCAACTTGGTGGTGTGAATGAAAGGCTTGCTTTTGTGAGCTTTCCATTAGAGCCACGTAGATCTAGCTTTTATTCTTCTTCAAGAATAATTAAGGTTTAACCATATTCATGGAATATTTCCCAATTTTTTTGTAAAGGCACGAAGTACCTTGTTAGTAGTGGTTAGATTGGCGACAAATCAAAATGTTTATCTATCATCTCCACCATTTGCAAGAATGATTACCCCTTTTGACAGGAGTAATAATTTTGGGTTAAATTTGCTAGAAATTTTGACCCTTTTTCGTGATAGAACACAGTAGCCATGAATTAGTGGATTTTCATGGGTAGTAGTACTCGTCTCCCCACAGACGGCGCCAAATTGTTTCGGCAAAAAATGAGCTAACCGGGCCTTGGAGGGGTGTCTGAGAACCTCGAATTTGGGCCTTGAATGGACCTGCAAAATGAACCCCGAGCCCCGGGGGTTGAACCCGGGGCGGAGCCTCCGACGCCCAAGTTAGTTGCCAAACAATGCATATTTTGAGAGGAGTTTAGGGGAGAGAGTGGAGGAGTATGGTCATCTTAGATGATAAGAGTGACCTCCTTTTACCTTATGCCCTTTGAGGGGTATTTATATGAGTACATAAGTGGGTTTATGAGCCCTAAAATTACATATGTGGGTCGTTGAAGGCCATATTGATGTATTTGACTTATTTGGGGCCTTTTATACCTTTTTTATGCCCTTTGGGCTTATATGGGTAGAGTTACCCAAGACTAAAATGGGTATGACCATTTTAGTACCCAAACAAGAGTGATTTACAACAAGTCAGGGGATTTGTACATACTATTAAAAAATCGTTCAAGGGTTAATCTCACACCAGCAGATAAGTTAGTCTCAGCTCAGGCTAACTATCAGAGAATAACACTGGAGTTTGATGGGGTCTTGAGCTGGTATTATCACCCGAAATCCTTTGCAGCCAACAAAGGTGTCAGTTGGTCCAATGTTAAGTCACTCCCTGATAACATATGCACAACACTTGCCGGAGTACTTGACACCGGAGTTTGTGGATACAACAGCATTTGCAGCCTTGGGGATGGGGACCGGAGGCCAAAATGTAAATGCCCACCACAATATTCTCTGTTGGATCCCAATAATAGATTTGGCAACTGCAAACCGAACTTCGAGCAAGAGAACTGTGATGAGTTTGGCCAGGGTGCCATAAAAGATGAATATACGCTAGTTCAGCTTGATAATGTTGATTGGCCATTAGCAGACTATCAACAGCTTGAGCCTTACAGTAAAGAAGAATGCCAGAGTTCTTGTCTAAATGATTGTTATTGTGCTGTTGCCATTTTCAATGAACAAGATCAAACTTGTTGGAAGAAGAAGCTGCCACTCACCCATGGAAGAGAAGATCAAGGAGTAAATAGGATAGCTTTTGTAAAGGTCAGGACTAATGACGGCAAATTAACAGTAGGCCAATCTCTCAGAGCCACCGGCAATGGTTCTTCAATTCTTTCCCCTTCGGGTGATTTTGCCTTCGGCTTTCATCAATTTCCTAGCAACAATGATCTATTCTTGCTTGCCATCTGGTACGATAAGATTCCTGACACCATAGTTTGGTATGCAAATGACGGTAACCCCGTTAGCCAGGGATCGTCAGTAAAAATAACTGCCAATGAGGGTCTAGTCCTTAGTGACCCTCAAGGAACTTCTCTATGGAATACCACTGATGCAAAAAAAAGCGGGGAAGCAGTTAATTATGGTTTTATGAATGATACCGGAAATTTTGTGCTCAATAGTGAAACTGACAATGTAGTTTGGCAGAGTTTTGACAATCCTACCGATACTCTGCTCCCTACCCAGATTTTGCAAGCGGGAGGCCAGCTTCATTCTCGACGATCAGAAACCAATTTTACTCAAGGGAGGTTCCAACTTCACTTACAAAGTGATGGAAACCTAGTCCTAAATACAAGGGACCTAGCAACAGGTAATGCCTATGATCCTTACTATGCTAGTCACACTGATGCAGATGGAAATCCAGAAAGTGCTGGTGACAGAGTGATTTACGACAAGTCAGGGGATTTGTACATACTATTAAAAAATCGTTCAAGGGTTGATCTCACACCAGCAGATAAGTTAGTCTCAGCTCAGACTAACTATCAGAGAGTAACACTGGAGTTTGATGGGGTCTTGAGCTGGTATTATCACCCGAAATCCTTTGCAGCCAACAAAGGTGTCAGTTGGTCCAATGTTAAGTCACTCCCTGATAACATATGCACAACACTTTCCGGAGTACTTGACACTGGAGCTTGCGGATATAACAGCATTTGCAGCCTTGGTGACGGGGATCAGAGGCCAAAATGTCGATGCCCACCAAATTACTCTCTTCTGGATCCCAATGATACATATGGCAGCTGCAAGCCAGATTTCAAGCAAGACAATTGTGATGAGTATGGCAAGGGTGCCATCAAGGATGAATATACGCTAGTTCGGCTTGTAAATATTGATTGGCCGTTAGCAGACTATGCACAGCTTAAGCCTTGCAGTAAAGAAGAATGCCAGAGTAATTGTCTAAATGATTGTTTTTGTGCTGTTGCCATTTTCAATGAACAAGATCAAACTTGTTTGAAGAAGAAGCTGCCACTCACCCATGGAAGAGAAGATAGCGGAGTACATAGAATAGGTTGGCTTAAGGTGGGGAATGGCAATGGTTCCAACGACCCAATCAACCCTATTCATCAAAATAAAGTAATATACAAGAAGAATGCTGTATTCACTGCACTGTTTGGCAGTTCTGTATGCATAAATTTCCTTCTGCTAAGCGCTATAGTTTTGGGAGTTTACCTCATGTATAACAAGAAGAATCCTAGGTTGCTTGACGAGCATCATAGGAATAAAACTCTTAGTGAATACAGTAGCGTTCATTGCTTCAGCTACAAAGAGCTTGAAGATGCAACAGATGGGTTCAAAGAAGAGATAGGACGAGGAGCTTTTGGCACAGTATACAAAGGGAAGATCGGAGCAGGAAATTCTCCTATTACAGTTGCTGTTAAAAAGTTAGATCGAATATCTAAGGAGTCTGATAAGGAATTTAAAGCTGAAGTGAATGTGATTGGTCAGACTCATCACAAGAATCTAGTTCGATTTATAAAATTCTGCAAGGAAGAAGACCATCGATTACTGGTATATGAATATATGAGTAATTGTACCGTGGCAGATTATCTTTTTGGTAATTTGAGGCCAAGCTGGACAGCAAGGATGCAAATTGTGCAAGGAATCGCCAAGGGGCTCTTGTATTTGCACGAGGAATGCAGCACACAGATAATCCACTGTGATATAAAGCCGCAGAATATACTTCTTGATGATTACTATCACGCCCGCATTTCTGACTTTGGATTGGCGAAGCTTTTGGTTTTAAACCAGAGCTACACAAATACAGCAGTCCGGGGAACAAAAGGATACCTTGCCCCTGAATGGTTCAGAAACAAGCCAGTTACAGTAAAGGTGGATGTGTACAGCTTTGGGGTGTTGTTGTTAGAAACCATATGCTGTCGAAGAAGCGTGTGCATGGATATCAGTGGGGAGGGAGCTATTCTGACAGATTGGGCATTTGATTGCTATCAATCTAACACATTAGATGCACTTGTAAATGATGACATAGAAGCACTTCATGACAAGCTAAATCTAGAGAGGTACATAATGGTTGCCCTTTGGTGTATCCGGGAAGACCCAAGCCTCCGACCTACAATGAAAAGGGTTATACAGATGCTTGAGGGTGTTGCCGAAGTAGCTAGGCCACCATGTCCTACCTCATTTACTGTTACCACTCAACCTTAAGACCCTAAATTTTCGAGGTTAATCATCTGTTTTTACTTTTTCATATTTATTTTGTTACACTAGTTCTCACCATGTATCAGTAGCTTCTACAATAAAAACCATCTCTAAGTTAGTTTTTGAACTGTATCAGGTAGTAATTAAGTTTATTTTTGCCGATTCTATATAATGAATGTGAAAACTCATAGGTCTACGATGAGGAGAATTCTGAAATGGATATCCATTTCCCAGAATTTGAGCAATTTTTATGATGCGGGGGATGCTTTAATAAAAAGAAACAGAAATAAATAGCACTTAGTTACCGCAAATAAAACATAAAGGTATTAACATCTGAATGACATGCAAACAAAGGCAAGATCATCATAAAGGTTGCTAAAAAGATTCAGAGAAGCAATCAAAAACCAGGGATGGGACCAAAGCAGCAATCAACTACCATAAAACAAATATAAGCAAAGCCATTCACATGATCAAGCAAAAGGATTGGAGCAGAAATGAATCAAAACCACATAAAATAGCATGATTTAACGCGGAGAACTAGGAATCATTTACTCACCTGCATTCGCAGATAGTTACAACTTCAAGACACTTAGACACTTCAAAATTTAATTTAGATGATCTGCAAGCAGTAAATCATCACAATATCATTCTTGACGAGCAAAAACTACATAGAAAAACGATACTATTCAATAAATTATTAAATACAGTTAGTTACAACTTCCAACAATGCACCAATAACTCAATTAATGGAATGGATTACAGAATGTCAAATTGTTAACTATACAATAAATTATGATATAGTACAGTACTTCATATGGATTTTTGCACTGAAAGTACCAAGTATTGTACACAAGATCATCACTAATGTTAGCAAGAAAATATATAAGGCAGAGGCAATGTATGCTGCCTTACAAACATAATGAATGCCAATCCTCCTATTATTCATAGCTTCGTCCCTCAAAAAAATCGCAGTCTTGACATGCATAGCAATCCTGGAACTCTTTCAAACCTTGATGAGTATGATAATGATGAAATTTGAAGATATTGTCATATGATTTCTTTTATGATTTAAAGCTAGCTTTATATCTTCTTAATTATAATAATGGCAATCAATCAGAGTTCCCTCAGTTCCCTTTTCTAGAGGTACAGCCATACAGCCTACAGGTGTTGTTTAAAAAAAACAAATAGTACTTGCTTTATCCATCGTATAAGGAGTTCAATATTTAAAAACATGGCACTCGAAAATATTGTATGTAAATACAAAAAGAAAAACAAAATTGAATAAAATATAGAAAACCTCAGGAAACAATTAGCTGCAGAACTGGTGGTAAAAGCAGTATAATTCCATTTTAACCATAAAACAGTAAAACAGAGATTCAACTAGAAATCCAAGACTAAGCTTTAACTACATATAAAGATATAATATAAATTATGATGAACAGATTGAACACCCACCAACACTCCTACCAGAAATGTACTAACATGTAAACAACAAATACATGAAAGGACCATAACATACTTGGAGATAGAATGAAATAAAACCTTCTTCTAGATCAAACTCTGAGTACGATCTAGCGGTTGATTGAAGACATCAGACGCTTGAGGAAGTCTTGTGAGTTGTGACATCAATAACTTGCTACATGTTTGTCGTGAACCAAATCAAGTAGCAAATAATGTTGAAGCTGCAGAACATACTATAGGAGAAATTGCAGTAGTTAGACTAGCATAATATCATTCTTTGACCATTATATTATGTTCTCTTAAATGGAATTATATTTTGCCTTCAGAGAAGGCATTCCTAAGTTTGATCAGTATTGTATCATTGAGGAAAAATTCATTATAATCAGAATTGGTAATTCATTTCAACCAAGTCCTTGCAAAGAACAGCATTTGAACAAGCTCTGTAGCCTAAGGACAAAGGGAGAGAAATGAAACTAAAGAGGAAAAGTACTATAAGAGGTACAGGAAATGTTTTATCTATGAAGGAAATTCTTGAACCATTTAGCAGAATGCTTGGGGTATCGTCTTAGTCCATCTTTGTAGTCAACATAGTTTATGCCAAAACGAACAGTATATCCAGAGCCCCACTCGAAGTTGTCCAACAATGACCAAGCAAAATATCCTCTCACTTTAACTGCATTCCTGCCCAAGTTGGGATTTTACACCCACAATTAGTTGATATATAGAGGACTAATACTTTGCTTTACAAACAAATTAAGGGTTTTTTTTTTTAAAATGATAAAGAAGAAAAGGATATTGAGGGTGAAAATCACATCCCTATTATAGTCTACATAAAATATCATTCAAGATAGATTTTTTTTTACCCAAAATAATCCAATAGATAAACAATTTGCACTTTGTACTTTATACATGTGGACGTAAATTTGTTCATTTCTCCTTTAAATTATTGCCAATCTCTTCCTTGAGTTAATATTATACTTTTAGCTTTCACAAATCATGACTACTGAAGCTTCCGCACCACCCTGTATATCGAATTTTTTCTTTGCATAAGAGAGAAGTATCAAGTAAGGACAAGGGTAATCACACATTTTTAGTAAGTTTCACCAAGTCTAGATGACAGATAAGAAACCTACCAAAAAAAAAACCTAACCTCATGGCAAGTTTTAAAAAGGCTAGATGACCATGGTAGTAATGTATCCTCATGCTGTCAGTTAAAGCTTCCTCAAGAGACAATCTAGGATCATTTGACTCATCACAGCCTACAAATAACAATCAGTATATTTCACAATTTATTATGATTTATGCATAACTAGGGTCAGCTCAAAAATGGAAAAGAGTTAGTAAAAAGGATAATTAAGAACAAAGATTTCAAGAAAAATGTCAAGTTGTCTTATTAGAAAAAGGTACTGCCTGTATCTAGCAATGAATCACCCCCTCTCACTCGAAACCAAACCCAGGACAACAGACTGAATTAGAAAGATACTAAACAAAATGGGACTCACCATTTTCTGTGATGTAAATGATTGGATTTTTATATCTTCGCTTGATATAGAGTAGAAGATCAAAAATCCCTCTTGGATAAATATAAAGCCAATCTGAAGCAGCCTGCAAAAGAGTTAGTACACACCAAATTTAAATTGTTTGTATCAGTTCTGTTGCATACATTGCTTACAGTAAAGCAAAGGATAGTAGTCCTGCTGATAAAATAATTTTGACATGAAAAACCATAGTGCAAAAAACTTGTTCATAAGAAGTCAGTGCAAATTTCAGATGGATTCCTAAGATTATGCTAGTCATGCACATACCTTTGGACCAATTGGTATTCCATTACGCTCAACTGTAAATAAAAAGTTGGAATCACTATTGGGCTCGATTGATCTTATGCAAAGTCTCAAATAAGAAACATTAAACTTCTATGATGGACTTACATGTCATATTAACAAGAGAATCAGTACTATAACTGGGCTCTGTATTCCTAAAACTAGGAGCAAATGCCGCGTAGCTGCTAGTGTAATAATTCAAGCCAACGAAATCAAATGAACCCTTTAACATGCGAGACTGCTCTCTTGAAAATTTAGGCAAGCGACTGCCCACAAGAAAGCGCATTGTGTGTGGGTAGTCACCATGTGTTATTGGGTCCATATACCTATAAGAAGCAATAAATTTAGTTAGGAGTCAATAATATGCCACTGAAGGACCTTAGATTGTAATAATCTACTTCAGAGAAAATTTCTCTCTTTTTAAGCTTAAATCATTTAACTTTAAGCTCTGAAACTAGATTACAAATCCATTTGTCAATAGATTATATACTCACCATCCAAACATAAAGTCAACAGCTCTAAGTGCAGAACTTCGGTCTTGCTTTGCTTGAGAATATGGAATGAACCAATTTGAATTTATAGCAATGCCAATTACACCTTTCTGAGATGCCTGTGGTATGCAAAAGAAGTTACAAACTTACATTAGTTCAGATTTCTTCCAATACATTCACTTTAACAGCATCTAATCAAATACATCAATTATGTTACTATAAACCTTACACATGCCAGTGGTAAAGGTTTAAAACTTTAAATACTAACATTTACAAATATTAGGAAAGTTAGGGAAAGATGAAATAATACCTGATATTTCTGTTTATATATTTGAACTGCTGCACCATGAGCAAGAAGCTGGTAATGCGCGATTTCATAAGGGTCAGTGGCCACATTGACTTTGCAATTCTGGGGGTTTGATTTAGAGCACTGCTTGGATGAAAAGACTCCAGTTGTGTAAATGCCTGTACTATAGGTCCATGGCTCATTAAGTGTAATCCAATGCTTCACCTTGTTACCAAATTCTCTATAACAAAGGTCTGCATAGTCACGAAAATCATCCCTGTACAGTGAAATAATAGGTAATTCATCAAGTATACATAAAAAGAAAATTATTAGATGCCACCTACATATCTTGAAGCAATGCCCCAAGTCAAAGGGATTAATGTTTGTCTTGAAGATGGAAGAGAAATTTGAGAGTGTTTTTTGTACTTCAACTTAAAAATGGTTCCAAAACACCAACTATTCAGCAACAAGTGAAAAAGGCTAAAATAAGTAATAAATATGACTATGCTTTTCAACAACTTTCTAGAATACCATGTTTTCATTGTGCTTGACTAATGGTAACTACTATGACACATCGTGATGACTTCTACAAAGTAAATAACTTACACTATGTGAGGGCTAAGAAAGCCACCATATTCATCTTGCAATGACTGAGGAAGATCCCAATGGAAAAGAGTGATGAATGGTTGTATGCCTGCCATTATGTAGCAACAGAACAATCACAACATTACAGGTAATGGCTTCAAAAAAAAAAAAAAAAAAAACATTGCAGGTAATAAAGCATATAAAGGGATAGCCATGGGTGTGACAAAATCTAACCATTTGCCAAGAGTTCATTGATAAGGTTATGGTAATAGGCTATTCCTTTCTGGTTCACGCCCTTGCTCACTTTTCCATCTGAAAATTTCAAAAGTATCCAAAGATGATCGATGTCAATTTGAGAAATTAAAGGAAAAAAAAAAAAGAGATTTCACATATCACTTAACTCATATAAGGATTTGTCAATCCAAAAGATTAAGTGACAAAGTTGGTTATTAGATGGACCTAGATCTTTAAATAGTCCTTTATAAGTGTTGTATGACTTATCTAGAAAAGAAAAACGTTAGAGAACAACCTCTTGGGGCTTATTTTCTAAAAAAGGCACAATATGATGCTAGAAATTTTTGCAAACAAGTGCAGATCAAATCCACCGAAAGCATGCCTTTAGCCCTTTACCTTCTATATTCATCTATACACAATGATTGAGACTAAAATGTTATAACTACAATGTTTCCGGACAATTATGATAATTTTCCAGCCCTAATTTGCAACCATTTACAGTAATTACAGCCTTTATCGCGGTTTAAATTCATAGGTTAATAATGTCATAATCCAATGCATATTTGCATATAATGACATACAAGGCAATACTCTGGGCCATGAAATTGAGAACCGGTAAGCACTTAGTCCCATTTCGTTCATGATCTTCACATCTTCCTACAAAGTCAATAAGTTGAGTTATAACCATTTTCGAACAAAGTTTCTGTTTTCTTGGGGTTTGAAAGAAAGGACGCTCAACCTCCCAAATCGAGACAATGCTCCAAACAAACTAAGAGCATCTCTTGATTCTATGACCTACTAACTATTTAAGTAGTTCTACATTCTATAACTATACAACATGAATTGTGCATTTCAAAAAAAAAAAGTTCACATAAACATTGTGATGTACAAGTAGTTTTAAAGCAAGTGATTTCACACCTTATAACGATGGTATGAATCAACTGCCTCATCCCCATTTTTTCCGTCCGCTATTTTATCTGCACAAATTATCACCAAAAACCTTTTAACAAACTCCTCATATACATAATACATTACACCATACTTGGATCGAACCTCATCTACATCACTACCCTACGTTCATGACTCTTTATATACATTATGTAACAATAATCTTCATTTCATAACAAAAAACCAAATTGATATTTATTATAAACAAATAAATAAAATTAAATTAAAAAATAAAAAAAATTAACCTCACCAGGAAATTTGTGGGTGAATGTATCCCATGTACTTGGACCTTTTCCATCTTCCTCAGCTCCTCCTTCAAACTGCACCAAAATCACATAAATTCATAATCCTACAAAATAAATAAATTAACAAATATAATCATTACTTGTTCTAAGACCCATTTACAAATTTTGTATTCTGATCAAATACAAAGAAAAAAAAACCAAATTTTTCTTCAATTACCGTTTCAATTATGAATATGAAGAACCCATTATGATAATTCATAATAAACCAACTATAACAATTTATTAACAATGTTGTTATTTACAGAATTAAAGTTTAATTATCCAGGATCATAATCAAAAGCAAAGTAATAATCTTTAAAAATAAAACTAGTTACCTGGTAAGCAGAAGAAGCTGAACCAAAAAGAAAACCAAGAGGAAAATGGGTACGATTAAGGAAGCTAATCCCGTAATTTGTGCCAATATTAGTGTAATTAATACTAGCAGTAGCAGTAGCAGTAGCAAAGCTTGAGCTTTTAAGTAGGAACAGAGTTAAGAAAAAAGGAAGAACTAAATATAGAAAAATCTTCATTTTTAAATTTTTTGAGTAAGAAAAATTTGTTGAGTTGTAGAGAATTTTGGTTGGCGGTTTTAGAGAGCTTTTGGCACTTTATCTAGTTAGGGTGTGTAATTTTGTTAAGTATCGTCTTAGAAAGTGGTTTAAAGAGTCTACTTGTACTTACTTTTTCTTCCATAAAAAGTGGATCTAAGATTTTATATATATTTCTTTTCCATCTATATGTGCTGCTATTTTTATGACGTTAGAAAATGTACCATCGTAGTTCCGTAAACAATCTGATACGAGTATGTTTACTCAACTATGTAAAGTATAAAAATAAAAGAATATTCATAAAATACAAATTACTAGAAAATTTGTCAAATTTTATTGTTTTAATGACTCACACAAAATATGTTCTCCAATGATACTAGATTAATATTTTTGATGAAAAAAATCACGCATTGGTTGCACTATCGCGTACCGCCTCCTCTTCCTCTCCATTGTAGCAACTTTTATCTCTCTCTCTTCGATTTAATTGTTTGGTTGATTTATTAAAAAAGTTGTCTTCTCATTAAGAAAATTTTAAATGTGATTTCTAACAAATTTTCCTATTAAAAATGGCATGGCGTTGATGTCATAAATTATGATTAGTAACAAAATTGGCAGTTAACCAAGTTGGTAATGAGTGATGAGAAGCTTGGGTTGGAGATTTTGGGCCGAAAGACTAAATCGAAGTCAAACAAAGAATCAGATGCGTCATGGGCCAAAATGTGTCAATGGGCTGGACATTTGTTGCGGGGTTGTTGCTGGACAAAAAATTGGGCTACAAAGAACATGATTCTTGCTATTTCATTTTCGTGTGTAGCAAAAAAAAAAAAAAAAAAAAAAAAAAAAAAAAAAAAAAAAAAAAAACCTCATTCTATTGCATTCAAATATAAAGGAAAAATTGTAAATTAAAAAAAAAAAATAACACTAACTTTCGACCATCAGCCTAAAACAAGTGAACTTATGGATTATCACAAAATACAACCTTTTATGCCATGAAATAAAGATTGAAAAACATTAGCACAACTTTTCTCCTTTTGATACTGGTTATCTCATTAGAAGTTTGAATACACCATTTTTTTCTTTTCTTTTTTTTTTTTTTGTTTTAACATACCTTGCATCTTTTAACAAGAGCATCAAGAACAATTGTAATCTGAATCACAAGTACTCGGTCATTAAAGGAGGAGGGAGGGTAAAACATGGGCAGCAGGGTAGGCCTTTGAGTTGAACCTGAGACAGGTAGAAGCTAATTATGAAGTGAACAAAAAAAGCCAAACCAAATGACAGTACCATGATATATTTACATGTAATTTCTTCCATGATTTCCAGCTACTTAACTACAAAGATTAAAGTTTCCTGTCAATAACTTGTAAATTAAGCCTGTGAATAACTATTCTGTCGAGTGATTGGGCATTTGATTGCTATCTATCTAATCTAACAGGTTTGATTCACTTGTTAATGATGACATGGAAGCTCTTAATGATATCATACGATTGAAGAGGTTGGTAATGATAGCTCTTTGGTGTATCCAGGAAGATCCAAGTCTACGACCAACAATGCGAGCAGTCACACAAATGCTAGACGGCCTTGTTGAAGTGCCTAAGAACCCTCCTTGTCCAACCTCATTTTCAGTTACTACTCAGAACTGAAGAGGCCAGATAAAGTACAATTTCAGGTCAATTTCATTTTGTTTTACTTACTTTCAGTGGTCAGTCTTTGAATTTAAGTTTTATTGTGTAATAATGAATTATGTTTTATGGGCATGTAGTACCAGATCCCTTTTGAACATTGTTCTGTATATCTTCATCATCTACTGCTATGGCAGAATGTAACTTGTTAACTTTGTTCCAAGATTTGGTTTTTTTTTTTTTAATATGAACCATTTATTACTTTTGGGTCTCTTAGATTTTGGACCTATGATTTTGGTCTGTTCGGACACGTCACTAATTAGGCCTACAGGCTAATTTAGCAAAGTGACTATGACCAATCTGGCAACCTCTTAATCTCTTATGCCTTTGTGTATTGTGTATCAATCTTGTATATAATAAAGTACAAAATACTACTACAAGTACAACCTCTGTCACATAGCAAGATTATACTAGCAATTTATTCATTTAAAGCTACAATAATAACAAACTAGCTTAATGCTATGTTATCCAAACCAAATAAGGCACAACCCGAGCCTATATAGATTTGATAAAATTAAGGCTCAACCATATGACAGCAATGTAGTCAGCATGAGAAATTTACAAGTAATTTCTTCAATCTTCTCAACCTACTTGAAGGTGATTTTTGTAGAATTTTAGTGCTTGATAAACACAATGCTTTGAAAATTGAGTCCCCCCTTAGACTATTCAATCAAGTGATTGGTTTGACCCAGTATCAAGGTTAAAAACTAAGAATGGTTCAATAACTTTTTCTAATTTAAGACCCAATATTTAGAACCAATTGATCACTACTTTAAATGCTAGTATTCCAACTCCTATAGTCCCATCCCTTTTGTAAGAAAATTTGCAATGGCGTGGCCTCTTTCTTGTACCCTCTCCCTATTAACACTAATAATCCTTCAATCAACACCCTCGCCTGTTGCAGCTCAAAATAGTGGCAATATCTCAGTTGGCCAATCTCTCACAGCCAAAATCAATGGCACTTCATGGCTTTCACCTTCAAAACATTTTGCCTTCGGTTTTCATCGACTTCCTAACAGAGGCGATCTCTTCCTGCTTGCCATCTGGTACGCCAATATTCCAGACACCATTGTTTGGCATGCAAATGATGGTAATCCGGTTCCCCGAGGTTCATCAGTAAAGATAACTGCAAATGAAGGCTTAGTTCTCACTGACCCTCAAGGAACCAACTTATGGAACACCTCTAGTGAGTTAATAGGTGATGGTGGTTGGGTGAGCTATGGTTTCATGAATGATACAGGGAATTTTGCACTCAAAAGAAGCAGCAATAGCACTCCGGTTTGGCAGAGCTTTGATCATCCTACAGACACCTTGCTGCCTGGTCAGTCTTTGGAAGTTGATGGGAGCATTAATTCTCGACTATCAGAAACTAATTATACGACGGGAAGGTTCCAATACCATCTGACTGAGGATGGAATCATGGCTCTCAATACCAGGGACCTAAGTACCGGCTACCTCTATAGTGCTTATTATATTAGTGACCCAGGAAATCCAGGTCAGACTCAAAGATATGTGTACAATGAGTCCGGGTATATGTACATATTAAGGAAAGATGGGTCGGTGCATAATATGTTACCGGATGGTTACACACCATCACAAGATCAATATCAGAGATTAATCTTGAGCTCTGATGGGATTTTAATATGGTATTCTGCCTCAAAAGCTTCAATTAGTGACGGATGGTTCAGATTTCAAGTACTACCTGAAAACATGTGTATAGGATCATCACCAGCAAATTTGGGTGTTGGAATTTGTGGGTCTAACAACCTTTGCATCCTAGGTGATAATAAAAGGCCAATGTGTGAATGCGCACAGGGCTACTCGCTCATCGATCCAAATGTTCAATATGGTGGTTGTAAACCTGATTTCAAGCTTCAGAATTGCGAAGATTATGCAGACAGGTCTATGAATGGCGAGTATAGCTTAGTACAACTTCAAAATACTGATTTTGTTAACAATGATTATGAAAGGGTTGATTCTAGAAGCGAGGCAGATTGCAAGGATTCTTGTTTGAAAGACTGTTTCTGTGCTGCTGCTTCTTTCAGTCTATATGGCAGTAATTCTGGTTGTTGGAAGAAGAAGGCACCACTTTTCAATGGAAAAAAAGACAGTTCAGTCAACTACAATTTTTTTTGGATAAAGGTAAGGAGTGTTAACATGTCCAATGACCCACTCAACCCTTTTGTTACCGTGACGCCAAATGGAAAAATGACAACTCCGATCAAAGTTCTGTTTGGTAGCTCTGTTTCTGTTAACTTACTTCTTTTAGTTGCAATCGGTTTTGGATTATACTTCATTTATCATAAGAAGAAACTGAAAAAGTCTAATGAGGGCCAGAAGAAAGCACTGAGCGAGTATAATCACGTCCATTATTTCAGCTACCAAGAGCTCTTTGAGGCAACAAATGGGTTCAAGGAAGAGTTGGGAAGAGGGGCTTTTGGTGTAGTTTACAAGGGCATGGTCAGCGGAGGGGGTCCATCAATTTATGTTGCTGTTAAGAAGTTAGATCGAATATCATCGGACACTGATAAAGAGTTCAAAACAGAAGTTAACGTTATTGGTCAGACACATCACAAGAATCTGGTACAGCTTGTAGGATTTTGCAAGGAAGGGGATCAGCGGCTGTTAGTATATGAATATATGAGCAATGGTAGCTTAGCTGATTATCTATTTGGTGATATGCGGCCAAGCTGGATAGATAGAGTTCAAATTGCTCAGGGGACAGCTACGGGGCTATTATACTTGCATGAGGAGTGCAGCACCCAAATCATTCATTGTGATATAAAACCCCAGAATATACTTTTAGATGAATATCATAATGCTCGTATTTCTGATTTTGGGTTGGCAAAGCTTTTGGTTCTAAATCAAACCCATACAAATACAGCAATCAGAGGGACCAAAGGCTATGTTGCTCCAGAATGGTTCAGGAACAAGCCAGTCACGGTCAAGGTAGATGTCTATAGCTTTGGGGTTCTTTTATTGGAGATCATATGTTGTCGAAAGAGCGTATGTATGGAGCTAGTTGAAGAGGAAGCAGCAATCTTGACAGATTGGGCATTTGATTGCTACCTATCAAATAAACTAGATCTACTTGTCAATGATGACATGGAGGCACTTAAGGACATGATTCGATTGAAGAGGTTTGTAATGGTTGCCCTTTGGTGTATCCAAGAAGACTCAAGTCTACGACCAACAATGCGAACAGTCACGCAGATGCTAGACGGCCTTGCTGAAGTGCCTAATAACCCTCCTTGTCCAACCTCATTTTCTGTTACTACCCAAAATTAAACATCCTCATATATAGTATGTATTTATTCTGGTTACATTTATTTTGATTTCTTTAGTTTTGTTATGTAATCGTTATCAACCAATGGTGTGACTAAATAATGTCCAAAAACATCCTTTCTTTTATTTTTCTTTAAAGAAATCTACTTGTTTCATATAGCATAATAGAATCAATTCCGGGTTATAAAGCTCAAAACTAAGGTCACTAAAACAACCCATTTATTAAATGATAACATTAACGTGATTTGTGTTTTAAAATGTTTCATAAAAGCTCAACATTAACCCAACTATTTCGTGTGTCAACTTTTGCTATTTTTAAGTATAACCTGAGAAAAAGGCTAGCAACAACCATGCCTTTTATAACAGTTCTACTGTTCTAGGCTTAGTATTTTCTTGACCTCTATTTTTTTCCCATAGAATACCCTACTCATCAAGAAGAAAAGTCCGGCTATTTATTCATTGCACATTAGAAGACTAAAAGTTATAAATACTCAGAATATGAGTTAATATTTTTACCAAAATGAATGGCCTTATTCAACATGAAATTCCTTCGCCCAAGGAGTTGTAAGCATATAGGTGATTTCCTCCTCAACCAAAAGTCCTGGTCAATAATATTAGGCTGGTGGCAGCCCATCGTTGAATCGACTTCGTCACCATCTGAACCACAATAATTAAATAAATAAATAAACAATAGAAGAAGATAACTAGATAAGCTATTAAGCAGACTCATTAAAGACACATTTAGCATATTTGAAAAACCATCGTGGTCCACAAGCAAAAAAAATGTTAAGGTAACGAAATTCATCTAGTAATACTAAAAATTTTGAAATTTTTACTCACCCCATCCAAAAATAACCGTCATGGAACACTATTGTAGGGTGTTAGGACAATGTTGTCACATTTTCTAAAATAGGCTATAACATTGTGTAATCTAGGTGGGCATGGCCGTGCCGGCCCGCGGGCGGCACGGGCCCAGCACGAGATTGGCCCGGACAGGCACGAGCCCGCCAGCGGCACGGCACGACACGGTGACCGAGGAGTAGGCCGTGGGCCGTGCCGCCGTGAACATGATTTCAAGAATCCGACACGAGTACGGCACGAACCCGCTAGCGGCACGGTAGTTTGGCCCGCTAGGCACGGCCACAAAATAACATAAATAATAATAAAAAAAAAAACTATAATAATAATAATAATAATAGAATGAAAAATAATAATATAATAATAAAAAAAACATAAACATAAATTAATAAAATTATTTAAATAATATATCCATTTTAAAAGTTGTTCAAAAAAAATTAAAAAAATTATGAGCGGCCCGATGTCCGGCACGACAAGCCATGCACGTGGGCCGTGTCGTGCCATGTGCTAAGGTGTGCTAGATGGTGGCCCGGCACGGGACGACACGAGATGTAGGCACAGCACGAGCCACCACCAGGCACAGTGAGGCACGGCCCGTGGCGGCTCACCTCTAGTATGTAATTAGCTTTCCTTACACTTGTAATACTGACTGGTTGAGTAAATGCATGAGATTCTTCTGAGGAAATATTGGTACAGATTTCTGCTTCACAAGGAACATAATACATGCTGGTTGTTTCCGCATTGGCATTATTTGAACGGCTGAATACATACAGACACATTGAAAAACTCTAAGTGTACGTATTATTACAACTCCCTTCGTTCTACAATTTTCTACCCAAATTCATGCATACTATAGATCTACATACCAATGAAGTTGAATGTAATTGCGAGTACCCAAGTAGGAAGAACTTTGTGGAACAAAAGGAGTCCTTGGGTAAGAGTCAGTAACACAAGTTCTATTTTTCTTAACTTTGTTATGCTGTTTGGTCTTAGCAGCCGTGTCACGACTCACGAGTAGTATTATTTTCTTTACACCGTGATGGGGTTGGTGGCGGTAAACAAGATCCCTGATGACATTGTAATTTTATAAGAATTTTCCAGTCAACTACTGATGAAATAGACCAGCAAATCAAAGAAGGCACTAAAAAGCAAATCTTTTTATTTCTATTATAAACAAGTTGAGTAAAAAAAACCAGATGTTCTTTCTCGGTTGCTTCTACTACATTTAGCAAGGGTACTCCATTATATTCAGTCTTTGGATTTAGTGTCACTCTAACTAACTTAAGACTCTACATTTAAATTATTAGATCAACTCAGTGTGAAACTAACGATGAATTAATCAATTTTATGAATTTTTAAAGACAACATGTATCTCACAAGCATCACAAATTTAAGAACCAACTTGATCTCTATATCATAATCCTAGCCTTAATACAGTATTTCAGTTGCTATGAGGGATTCAGAAGTAATTTCCATCATGTCTTTCCACTACTATAAAATGATTTGCACTTTAAGATTGCTTTTACAATTATCTATTCTAGTTGTTCAAAAGTCTTGGAAATTGAGGCTTTTCCATAGACTAACTTTTCCAATCAAATAAATATTGACTTGAACTCACTGTTTGAATTTCAATAATGCTATTGTATGCAACTCAGTGACATAATTTCATAAAATCACCACCTATTGCTCCAAATACTTATCTAAGCAATGGCGGCTTGGCCTCTTCCTAGCACCCTCTCCTTGTTAACACTAATACTCCTACAATCATCACCTATTGCTGCCCAAAATAAAGGCAATATACCAGTAGGACAATCCCTATCAGCTGCCACCAATAATTCTTCATGGCATTCCCCTTCGGGCGATTTCGCCTTTGGCTTTTCCAAATTTTCAAACAGCAGCAATCTCTTCTTGCTTGCCATCTGGTATGTCAAGATTCCCACCACCATTGTTTGGTACGCAAATGATGGTAATCCTGTTCCTCAAGGATCATCAGTCAAGATTACAGCTAATGAGGGACTAGTTCTCAGTGATCCTAACGGAATTGACCTATGGAACACCTCTGATACGCTAAGTGATGGAGGTGAGGTAAAGTATGGCTACCTGAATGATACTGGGAATTTCGCCCTCAAAAGTAGCAGCAGTGACAATCCAGTTTGGCAGAGCTTTAACCATCCTACAGACACCTTGCTGCCTTCTCAGGTTATGGAGATAAATATGGAGGTTAACTCTAAGCTATAAAGAACTAATTTCACAAAGGGGAGGTTCCAGTTACGTTTGATGCCTGATGGAAACCTCGTTCTCAATCCCATGGATCTATCAACTGGCTTTGCCTATGGTGCTTACTACACTAGTGGCACTAATGAAAACCCGGAAATTGCAGGTCAGAGATTGGTTTACAATGAGTCCGGGTACATGTTTATCTTAAGAAAGAATGGTTCAAGGCAAGATCTCATGCCGCCAAATGAGGTGCAGTCAACAACAGATAGCTATCAGAGAGTAACTTTGACCTTTGATGGGATGCTAACATGGTATTCTATCCCAAAAGCTTCCATCAGCAATGGCTGGTCAATGAAGCACGCATTACCAGAAAATATTTGTATAACCAATAAAAATTTCAGAGCAGATGTAGGCAGTGGAATTTGTGGGTTTAACAGCATTTGCAGCATTGGGGATGATAGAAGACCGACATGTACATGCCCAAAAGGTTACTCATTCCTTGATCCTAATGATATGTTTGGCAGCTGTAAGCCTGATTTTGCGCTAGAGAGTTGTGAAAGATACGCAGAGAGATCAATCAGAGGTGAATACAGATTAGTACCCCTTCCAAATACTGATTGGCCATGGAATGATTATGAAAGGCTTGATCCTTGCAGCGAAGAAGACTGTAAGAATTCTTGTCTGAAAGACTGCTTTTGCGCTGCTGCCATATTTGGGGATGTAAATAATCCTGCAGGTTGTTGGAAAAAGAAGGCACCACTGTCCAATGGAAGAAGAGACAGCACAGTAATAGGGACTGCTTGGATAAAGGTTGGAAATGTTAGTATTTCCAATAATTCAATCAGTACTTTTGTTTCTTTACCCCCTCCAACAACAAAAAACAAGGTGAAATATCTAAATAAAGCTCTGATTGGTGGCTCTATATCTGTTAATTTACTACTTTTAATTGCAATCTGCTTCGGAATTTTCTTCATTTATCATAAGAAGCAACAAAAAGTGTCTAATGAGGGCCAGAGGAAAACACTGAGAGAGTATAGTCACGTCCATTATTTCAGCTACCAAGAGCTAAATGAGGCAACTTATGGATTTAAGGAAGAGCTGGGAAGAGGGGCTTTTGGTGTAGTTTACAAGGGCATGATCAGAGGAGGTGGTCCTTCAATTTGTGTTGCTGTTAAGAAGTTAGATCGAATATCATCGGACACTGATAAAGAGTTCAAAACAGAAGTTAACGTTATTGGTCAGACACATCACAAGAATCTGGTACAGCTTGTAGGATTTTGCAAGGAAGGGGATCAGCGGCTGTTAGTATATGAATATATGAGCAATGGTAGCTTAGCTGATTATCTATTTGGTGATATGCGGCCAAGCTGGATAGATAGAGTTCAAATTGCTCAGGGGACAGCTACGGGGCTATTATACTTGCATGAGGAGTGCAGCACCCAAATCATTCATTGTGATATAAAACCCCAGAATATACTTTTAGATGAATATCATAATGCTCGTATTTCTGATTTTGGGTTGGCAAAGCTTTTGGTTCTAAATCAAACCCATACAAATACAGCAATCAGAGGGACCAAAGGCTATGTTGCTCCAGAATGGTTCAGGAACAAGCCAGTCACGGTCAAGGTAGATGTCTATAGCTTTGGGGTTCTTTTATTGGAGATCATATGTTGTCGAAAGAGCGTATGTATGGAGCTAGTTGAAGAGGAAGCAGCAATCTTGACAGATTGGGCATTTGATTGCTACCTATCAAATAAACTAGATCTACTTGTCAATGATGATATGGAGGCACTTAAGGACATTATTCGGTTAAAGAGGTTTGTAATTGTTGCCCTTTGGTGCATCCAAGAAGATCCAAGTCTACGACCAACAATGCGAACAGTCACGCAGATGCTAGAAGGTCTTGCTGAAGTGCCTAATAACCCTCCTTGTCCTGCCTCATTTTCAGTTACCACCCAACATTAAATCAGCCCAAAAGGCCCCTGATAATGTACCTTGGTCACTTTTGTTTTATGTAAAATTTAGGAGTAAACCTGATTTCGAGTATGTTGTGCGACAGCGGAAGCAAAGGTCGTAAACAAACAAGAAAACAATAAAGAAATTCAATGCAAACAATAAGAACAACACCAAGAATTTACGTGGTTCACTATCGATGTGATAGCTACGTCCACGGGCACCGAGATCGAATGATTTCACTATAAACTGGCAAAGATTACAAAGATTACAATGAAGAACTTAATCACTCAAAGTATTCTCTCTCTTGTGTTTCTCTCTCCGTTACCCTAATAATGATAATAGGAAGTTTATATAGTAGTGATTCCTAATTAAGATATACTTAGGTTACAATATCACAATATGATAAATATTAAATTCGTAATCGCTGAAAAAAACCCAGATCGCCCGGTCGGGCGAAGGCCCGCCCGATCGGGCGCGAGAACACGTCTTTTCCAACAACCGAAGTACTCCAAAAAACCCCTTCCGCCCGGCCCGATCGGGCAATGTCCGCCCGATCGGGCGAAGGCTCGCCCGGTCGGGCGAAAGCTCGCCCGGTCGGGCGCGCGAGAGCAGCTTCTTCAACGAATTTGCCAGGCACCTCTTCTTCTTCCGCCCGGTCAGACCGGGTAATGTCCGCCCGATCGGGCGGACAAAGCAACGAAGTACGAGTCACCTAATACTTATCAACAATCTCCACCTTGACGAGAACTCGTAGTCAGCAAACGACCCCATCAAGACATAGTGAAAAACATCTCAAGTCAAACCCGATGCAAGACTCATGCATAAGCCATACATCCCGATAAGTCTTCAACCAAGACCCATCACATACTCGTCTCCAAGTATAACAACTCATAATGCTCCACCTGCATCACAAGCCCCGGGCAAGCTCCACCTTAAGGCCAACACACCTACACCAGGAGCTCCCCAACTTCGCCCCTCAGGGCCTACTACATCACGTAGTAATCAATATTTAACAAGTCTAAGCAATGTTTAAACTTGCTAAACGGAACAGGCTTAGTGAAGAAATCAGCCGGGTTGTCAGCAGTCCCAATCTTCTTCACCTTAATCCTCTCGTCAGTACGTAAGAAATGATACCTGACATCAATGTGCTTCGTCCGATCATGGTGTACTTGATCTTTAGCTAAGCAAATCGCACTTAGACTATCACAATACACTGTAGCAAAATCCTGTGCAATACCCAGTTCACCTACTAGGCCTTTGAGCCAAATAGACTCCTTAGCTGCAGAAGTTAAAGCCATATACTCAGCTTCAGTAGTTGACAACGTAACTGATGACTGCAATGTAGACTTCCAACTAACCACAGAACCACCCAAAGTGAACACATAACCAGTCACAGACCTCCTGGTATCCACATCAGCTGCATAATCAGAATCACTGTACCCAGTGACCAAGCATTCCTTATCATTCCCGTACACAAGACCAATATCAGCTGTCCCTCTCAGGTAGCGAAAAATCCTTTTCACCCCTTGCCAGTGTTCCCTCCCAGGTCGAGCCATAAACCTGCTTACAACACTAACGGCATGCGCAATATCCGGCCTAGTACAGACCATAGCATACATCAAACAACCAACCGCATTTGCATATGGAACTCTAGACATATAAGACAACTCCTCCTCTGATTGAGGTGACATAGACAAAGACAACTTACAACTAACAGTAGTTGGCGTACTTATAGGCTTCGATTTTTCCATCCCAAAACGAGACAAAATCTTTTCAATGTAGCTTTTCTGAGTCAAGAAAAGCTTACCTCTAGCCCGATCCCTGTAGATCTCCATACCCAAAATCTTCCTAGCTGCACCCAAGTCTTTCATGTCAAACTCCGAGTTAAGCATCTCCTTTAATCTAGCAATATCAGATTTATTCTTTGTGGCAACCAACATGTCATCAACATATAACAAAAGATAAATCATGGAACCATTATCCAGCTTACTATGATACACACAGCAATCATATGAATTCCTGTCAAAACCTTGTGAAACCATAAAAGAATCAAACCTTTTGTACCACTGTCGGGGGATTGCTTAAGTCCATACAATGACTTTAGCAATCTGCAGGCATAGTGTTCCTTTCCAGGAACTTCGAATCCTTCGGGCTGCTTCATCAGAATCTCCTCCTCCAAATCGCCATGAAGGAAAGCCGTTTTAACATCCAACTGCTCCAGCTCAAGATCAAAATGTGCTACAATTGACAATAACACACGGATAGAAGTATGTCGAACCACAGGTGAGAATATCTCAACAAAATCAACCCCTTCTACCTGACTGAACCCCTTAGCAACTAGCCTAGCCTTAAAACGTATTTGCTCAGTTTCCGACAACCCTTCTTTCTTCTTGTAAATCCATTTACAACCCACAAGCTTCCTCCCTTCCGGTACTTTTACCAGTTCCCACACTCTGTTCTTGTAAAGAGACTGCATCTCTTCACCCATTGCGGCAAGCCATTGCGCAGACTCACTACAACTAATTGCTTGTTTATATGTGGCAGGTTCAAATGACTCTACATCATCAGCTACACTCAATGCATAACCTGTCATCGCATCAACACAGCAATTTCTTCCCTCCATCTCTTCAATCAATCTAACAGGCTTCTTGATAACTCGTTTAGGCATCTCAAGAATGGTGTCAGGTTGACTAGATGACCCCTGATTAGATTGCTCCACCTCATCCCCAGAGTTAGAATGAGTAGGAGTAATCTCAGGTTCAGGAGTACCCGGCACTGGAACATCAGCATCATCATCAATATATTGTACCCGAGGTAAATCAGCAATGGTAGACTGATGTACCTCAAGTACCCCATCTGTCTGTAATAAATTGTCTCCTTCCCTTCTCAAATCTGAAATCTCTGCATTTTTAATTGAATACATGGTGTTTTCATCGAAAGTAACATCCCTACTAAGAATGACCCGACCCTCCGAAGGTGAAAAAATTCTAAACCCCTTCACACCATCCCCGTACCCAACAAAACACCCCTTCTTGGCTCGTGGATCCAGCTTACCCTCAATAACATGATAATAAGCA